GACGCAGAGATGGCATACTGGAAGTACTGCCTTGCTATATATACCTCTGCATGAGAACTGGCCTTGTGGCCACTTGCTTGTGCTCAGAATGCGTGGGTGATTTTTGTGATTCCACCCTGAGCTGTGTTCTCTTTTGCACACTGGTCTTGTGACTGCTTGTTGTGTTTGCTGTCCCCCTACTTTGCCTATGGGAGTGTGTCAGATTACAATTGTATCTCTAGGCTACATAGGGTCACTCCTTAGTGAGTACAACACTTAGGGTTAGGTTTCCCCTACTTGTACTCACCTCTTGACTAGTTCAATCATTCGTTTCTAGTTCTATTCTGACAGTTTTTGTCCGGTGGGGAATAACGGTAAGACCCCCCTTTTTTGTATGTAGTAGTCATTATTGCTCTTGTTCTTAAGCTTTTCTAGCAAAATTCGAATTCTGACACCTTTTTTATGTCATATTCGAATTTCTTACACGTATCTGATACGCCGCACAAGCAAAATTTTGCAGGCGAATTCGTAAACGTATATAAGGACCCCCCCCCACCCCAAATTGAGTCATACTCCTTAAAATATCAAATTGATAACTGATAAATAAGGTGTACCCTGTCAGAGGTCCCCTGGTGATCCCCGATTGATCCTAGGAAAGGGTTACAGGCACATGCGGCAAGAGCGTCTCAAGTAGAGCAGGCTGCGGCGGCTGTCAGCTCCCCAGTACCTCCAAGTTGTGGTAGCTCTAGCACCTCTAGTACCAGAAGCACCTCTATTTTCTCCAGCTCGAGCACCTCTAGCACCAGCAGAAACTCCAGTGACCTCCAGCTCCAGGACCTCCAGAAGACTCGCAGCACCCCAGAGTCAGCACCCGAAGTCTCTAGCACCCCCAGAGTCAGCACCCTCAGGCTCAGCACCCTCACTCCCAGCACCCTCAGTTCACAGCACCCTCAGTAACCACAGCAGTAGCTGCAGAGGCGGCCGAAGACGGCAGAGGTGGGACCCTGGGGGGGTAGCCAGACGAGGAGAGTGGGCACCCCCAAGACTCACCACCCTCAGTCCCCAGCTCCAGTAGTCTCATATCCAGAGTCCACAGCAGCAGGCTGCGGAGGCGGCGAAGACGGCCGTGGCGGGAAACCCGAGGGGGTCGCCAAGCGAGGAGTGGCGAGTGGTTGCCGTTGTCGTCTGGCTACGACGTCACCCCCCTCAGGTGAGTCAGAGGATTTAGAGAGGTCTCAACTAGCTCATCCAAGGGGGTTGGGTCTACCTGGGATCACACCTAAGGGAGCAGGACCCTGTGGGGGGAGGAGGTCTACCGGGGGGGGGGACTGGTACTAGGAAGAGGGGTGCAAGGGGGAATGGTCGCGTCCGGGTAAAGTCGGTACTAACCGACTGACTCGTTCAAGGTGACGTCCTGGCGTAGAGGACAGAACACGACGCGAGGTAGGGTGTAGAACTGCCAGGGTGGAGCGTTGGTGGGGAAGCCCAAGAAGACACATCAGAGAGTGCGAGGAGAGAGCTTGCTCGCTTTGGTATCGAGAACAAAGCAGAGCGTGCCCCATCACCAGGCTGTCCCGTTCTAACGGAATGTGGGCGAGTTCTCTGGAGCAGAGACACGGGGCCAGAGGTTGAGCTGATGCGCGGTGTGTATCGGACTGCAAACGGCCACAGGAAATGGGGAGCAGCCGCATGGATCATGGAGGTACGAGCAACCTCCATAATCAGGCCAATGCGACGCTAAGTGATCCCATCTTTGCTGCGGATGAGGCCGGAAGCTGTGAACGACCTGGGCGATGCCCTCATCCTAGCAGAACGTTTCAAGGACACCAGAAGAGAACTCAACCACCCCTGTCAGAGTGCAGACGCATGACTGGGAAGTCTTGCTGAAAGTGCTCGTGTAGGTGGAGATGAGTAGCACGGATCCAGGGGATCAAAACACCGCTGACGTCCGCCTTGCGACACAAGGGGAAGACTCTGGTGTAGCGTGTTGTAGTCGTCAACAACCAGCAGGAAGTAGCTCTTCCAGGTCCAGGCCGGGCCCCCACACGTCCAGGTGGAGAGTCTGCAGAGGAGCAGTGGTCGGAGGAAACTCGGAGGAGTGAGGAGCTGTGCGGTGCCGCCCCTCGATGCAAGGAAGGCACGGCGATGCAAGTGAGCGCGGGAAGGGGGGGCAGGGTCTCAGGGAGGCCAGAGACCAGGAGCCGGGAGTGCATGCGGCGCAAACGTTGCAGGGAGGGGTGACCATGGCTGTGGTGCCAGCACTGAGTCTCGTGCATGAGTACTCTGCATGAGCAAGACGTAGCTAACTGCCCCTGACGTAGACGCTCGACTCGACGCAGCTACCTGATCTGACTCAACTACCTGTGCAGACGCAGTGGTCAGTGTGTATAGACTAGACACAGCCTGTTGAGTGAAACATAGCCAGGTGACTGCCAGTCCGGGAGCATGTACAGATCGCCACATGCTCGCCCCCACGGAATTAAGGTATCAACCCAGACATCCTGACGTGGCAGCGTTGCTCACCAAGTCGTCAAGAACGTGGGGAGGTGGAGGCGTGACAAAGAGCCGGAGGGGACTGCTGGACAAGGGAGGACCGTGGAGGCTCTCGCAACCATAGGCCCCCTAGAGGGGTCAGCCAGTGAGACTGGGACAGGTACTAGGAGTGGTGTGACAATGGTGCAATCACGAAAGAACAACATGACGCGCTTGAGTCAAGCGGTGAAAGTGTGCAGGACCTCATCAGAGGTAGGACCTGTGGTAGTAGACGCACCAGCAGCGGCCGACAAAATCTGAGAAGTGCGAATTTTGCTGCGCAGCAGGACATCGACCTCTTGGCGTGTTGGAAGTTGGAAGAAGGTTACTAGCGGAGGTGCAGAGCAACAACAGTGCGACATCCACGATGGCAAAACTGATAGGGAGTTAGCAGCTTCGAGCGCAGGACCGAGGGATGATCTATTCGGACATACCCTACGATCCTATAAGCGAGACCATGTACGGTTACTCGGAGCAGCAACAACCACTACTACTCGAGGTGATCTGCAACGGGAGACACCTCCAGGCACTGGTGGACAGCAGTGCGTCTCACTCAGTGTGCGACCGCGGGACGTTGGAGAAAATTGGAGGTAATTTTCGGAGGAGACCCAGTTCTCGGCAACAATGGTGGACGGTACAAAACTTCCCATGCCGGTGAAGCATCACTACAGCTGCACATAGGGGCGCTGAGGTTGGAAGCCGCCATTGCTGATCACGAACATCAGGGTTTAGATGTCATCTTGGGGCGAGGTTTCGTGAAGCGGTTCAACTCCCGCGATCGACAGGGTTCAACAAGAAGGTGTGCATGTACAACAACGGGAAACAAGTAGAGCTGCCAGGCTGGACAGATACAGGGAGCGTTCCTGAAACGACATTGGCACCGTTCGAAAGGACGGTGAACGAGAGTAACACGGTATACTTAGCAGTGGTTATAGCAGTTTCTCCCACATTGTGGTTATGGCAGTCCTAGATCCTCACATGTGGCGTAGATCTTCAACCTGACAACTGGTGCTGAGAACTAAAGGACGAGCGTGTAGAACGCCAAGAAACTGAACCAGAGCCAAGGCTGAAGATTTAACCCTGTGACGACCACTGCGTATAGCCTGGTCGTCAACCCAAGAAGCGTCTGAGTGCCGAGTGAATCCAACGTCACTCTGTCCTCCAAGCACGAGCCCCATGCCCAATGTTACTGCACAAATAGCGTAGTACCTCTTAGCAGCATTCATGTGCACCTTTCGGTGCGACCAGGAGCCACATAGCGAGCAAGAAGGCCAAGAGGGTACCACAAGGTCAGGACGAGTGCAGGTTATCAGGTACATGAAGCAGCCCACTAGCTCTGGGTAAGGACCACTCGGCTCTACGGACTCGTCGAAGGTGGAGCTGATGAGAGCGAGTGACTTGTCGCCAGAGGAGTGTTGCTGTGGTGAGGACCAGGTGAAGCCAAAGCGCTGAAGGACCTGCTGCAGCATGTGTGACTGAGCTAGTGTGATGGTGCGGCGTGCTCTGTCTCGGGTGATCAACAATGGCAATGGTAGCTGCGCAGTTCAACCCAGGTCTGTCCACGTGTGTCTCTTCTACAGCTCCGACTGTCAGCAGTGGCAAAGACCAAGTCGTTGACGTACAGGAGGATATAGAACAGCAGTAGCGACGTGTCGGTGCGCAGAAACAGCAAGGGTTAGTAGTCGATGGAGCAAACCCAAGAGCCGCAAGTGTAGTCCTCAGTGTGTCGTCCCACTCACGTGGTGCCTAGCAGAGACCGTAGACTGGCCGCCGGAGACTCCACTGGGTACAAGGAGGGAAAGTTCCAGTGAAGCCAGGAGGGCGGCGCAACGAGATCTCCTCGTGCAGGCTGCCCTGTAAGAAAGCTATGCTAAGTCAAGAGAGTGAAGCTCGTAGTCACGCTGAGCGGCAACGTGGAGCAGCACCCGAAGAGTGGTCATTCTTCGGGGTGGGGGAGAAGGTCTCAAAGAAGTCTACTCCCTCTCACTGACTGAAACCTCGAGCAACGTAACAAGCCTTGAAGACAGGCGGAAAACCTGGCGGCCGCTTCACCCTGAAAATCACATGCTACTAACGATGCTCGCCCCAGGAAGGGGAATCTCGTCAACGTAAGTGCCAGTGGACCTTCCATGATGCCATCTTTGCGTCCATGACTGTCTGGCACTATGAAGAGTTACTCAACTGCGATCGCCTCAGCGTAAGAGCGCGGGGTCGGGATGTCTGCTGCATCCGGGTCTCCCTCAGGGGCAAGCAGCATGGACACGAGATGAGGCGCAGCGGCTGCAAGACACTCAAGCTCCTCATGTTTGTCCTCAAGGACGTCATGTCAAGAGCACACTCACCCCCGACGGATGGAGGACCGAGAGACTCAGACTCAGCAACTAGACTAGCGGCGTAGTCTAGACGACAGGCAGCAGCTAAGTCAACAAGTTCAGCGACTGAGGCAGACGCAACAGTAGACTTAAATGAAGGGTCAATGACAACTGTGGCTAGCGGACGCGTGACAGTAGAGTGAGCAGCACCGGTGCGGTTAGACTCAAGCTCAGGAACGGTAGGCAGAGAAGACGAAGGAGGGCAGGCAGGGGAACACGCTGCGGATGAGAGGAAGGATGACGGACTACGAGGTGGGTGCCGGTGAGAGTCGGCTGACGCGAACGAGGAACACGAAGACCAGGACGACCAGAACAGACACGCAAGACAGGACGCGATGCAGGCTCACGATGCTCAGTAAGACCCCCTGTCTTCTCAGTGTAAGGAGAAGGAGCAGGCAGCGGTGATCCAGGCTGTAACGGAAGACCAGTAGACGAAGGGAGACTAAGAACCTGGCGAGGTACAGAGTCAGACGGTGGCTGAGACGACGGAGATGGTGGAGCGAAGAACAGGCGCGGCTGTGCAGCGCCACCAGCACCAGCAGCTCCAGCACCCCTAGCAGCTCCAGCACCTCCAGCAGCTCTAGAACCCTCAGCGCCAGCTTGTCCAGGACCAGCTCCACCACCAGCAGCACCCCCAGAACTGGCACCTCCAGTTCCAGGGTCTCCAGTCCCAGTAGCAGCACCCCCAGACCCACAGTCTCCCAGCAGGAGCACCATCAGGCTCAGCACCTCCAACCTCAGCAGCTCCAGTACCTCCAGTACGAGCACCTCCGGGACCAGCACCACTCTAGCTCCGTGACGCCAGCAGAAGTACCTCCAGCGGTACAGCCTCGAGCTCCAGAAGCGCGACCCTTACGGCGGATCCGTTACAGTTGTGCAGTTGCTGTGAGGTAAGAGGCACACGCGTGACTAAGGCGGCTACTCCAAGGAGGACCGCGCAACAGCAGACTCAGAACCCTCAGCGTTAGCACCCGCAGTAGCTTCAGAACCTCCAGCGCCAGAATCCTCAGCAGCTCCAAAACCTCCAGTTCCAGCACCCGCAGCGCTCCGGAACCTCCAGCAGAAACAACTCCAGTAGCAGAGACACCAGCACCAGTGCCTCCCGCAGCAGGGCCCCTAGCTCCAGCAGCACGACCCTGACAGCCAACGTTACCACTCATGCAGCTGCTGTGGGGGAGAGAGGGAGTCGACGTACGAGAGTGCAGCAGCAAGGTGCCAGCAGAGCGACTGCGGAGACGGCTGCCCCAGGGAGGGTGCTCACTAGAACGCCTCAGCGCCCCCAGGTGCAGCATCCTCCTAGACTCAGTACCACCCAGGCTCGGCACCCCCAGACTCCTCACGTCCAGGCTTCAGCACCTCCAGTCTCCGCCAACCCCAGGCTCCGCACTTCCAGGCTCCGCACCCCCAGGCTTAGCACCCCCTAGGCTCCGCACCCCCTGGCTCAGCACCCCCAGAAGCAGTACCCCGAGCAAGACCATCCTCAGCAGGACCTTAGTCACAAGCGACCTCTAACGGGCGCAGTCAAGGGAGGAGGGTCTACCTGAGACACACCTGAAGGAGCAGGACCGGGAGCGGGGAGGGGGTTCTACCTCCGGGAGCAACTAGAGCAAGGAGAGCGGCAGTAGGGGGGAGAGGGGCAGTGCGGTAGGGAAGAGACGGTAAAAGGGAACCGACTCGTTCGAACGTGAGTGTCCTGGGAGGGGAAGACACGGGCGAGGTGGGGTGGTAAAACTACCAACCAAGCGCGTCAAGGACAAAGCCAAGGAAGACACAGGGAACAGCACGGGCGGAGATCTTGTCCGCGGGTGGTATCGCGGACAAAGGCACGAGCACCCCAGACCCGGAAAACGCGTCGCATCGCCAACCCTTCCCCGTCCACAGCACTGTGGGCGAGGTCTCCGGTAAGGAGGACACGGGGCCATAGGTTGAGCGTGATGCGCGGCGTATCGGACCGCAAATGGCCACAGAAAATGGGGGCCAGCCGCATGATCATGGAGGTATGAGCGACCCCCATGACTAAGCCAATGCGGTGCTCAGCAACCCCATTCTGCTGCGGAGAGGCTGGAAGCATGAACATCTGGCAGATTGCCGTGCTCCGCACAGAAGGCTGCCAAGAGGTCGTAAGGAATAACTCCCCACCTCTGTCAGAGTGCAGACGCAGGAGGGGAAAGTCCAACTGGAAGTGCTCGCGGAGCTGGAGACGAGCACCGCGGATCCAAGGGATCAAAACATCAGGGACCTCACCCTTGGTGCGCAAGAGGAAGACCGTGGTGTAGCGCGTGTAGTCGTCGACGACCAGTCGGAAGTACCGTTCGTGGCCCTGTCCACGGATGCGAGCTGGGCCCCACACGTCCACGTGGAGAGTTTGCAGGGGAGCCTCTGTTGGAGGGAACGAGGAGGAGTGAGGAGCGGCGCGCTGCCGCCCCTCAACACAAGGAAGACAGGGAGGAGCAGGTGAGGGTGGGAGGGGAGGGAGAACCCTGGGAGACCAGAGACGGCTGACACGGGCTGTGCATGCTGCCAAGGCGCCTTGCACCGAGGGGTGACCAAGGCGATGGTGCCAAAGGAGGGTCTGGTGCGACAAGGTGCGACACGAACAGGGGGGCGACAACACAGCTACCTGAAAATCCACTAGGTCGTTTCCTACTGGTACCTAGTGGAGCCTCTAGCGGCTAGTCTATGGGCCTCCGCCAGGCGCTCCGTAAGTGGCACGACACAGTGAGGACTACACTTGCGGCTCTTGGGTCTGCTCCTTCTACAGCCGACCCGTCGCTGTTCTCTGTGCACCGACACCTCTTTGCCGCCGTCTACATCTTCGTGTACGTCCGACGACTTGGTCTTTGCCACTGCTGGACTCGCCCCCGTGAAGTCAGAGCTGCAGAAGAGGACACACGTGCACAGACCTGGGTGAACTGCGCAGCTACCTTGGCTGCAAATCACCCGGGACAAAGCACAGCGCACCCATTACCCCGACACAGTCACCACATGGTGCAGCAGGTACTTCAGCGCTTCGACTTGATGTACTCTTCGCCTCAGGCCACTCCTTTGTCTACTTGCCACTCGCTCTCAGCTCTGCCTTCGGATGAGTCCGTAGAGCCGAGTGGCCCGTACCCAGAGCTTGTTGGCTGCCTCATGTACCTGATGACCTGCACACGACCTGACCTTGCATACCCTCTTAGTATCTTGGCACGCTATGTTGCTCCTGGGAGACATCGACCAGAGCACGTGGCTGCAGCGAAGAGGGTTGTTGCGCTACGAGTGCAGTACGTCGGGCATGGGGCTAGTGCTTGGAGGGCGACGTCGAGTGGTTCCTCACAGGTCACGCAGACGCTTCTTGGGCTGACGACGAGGCTCTGCAGCGGTCGTCACAGGGTTACACCTACAGCCTTGGTTCCGGCTCTGTTTTGTGGCGGTCTACATGCTCGTCTTCTGTTTCTCATCTCCACCTGTGAGGTTGAGATATATCGAAGGGGCCATGATTGCACAGGAGCTACACTGGCTCACCTATCTACTGACTGACCTAGGAGAGCCGCCTCGTTCTCCTCCAGTTCTGTACGTAGACAACAAGGCAATGTTGGCCTTGTGTCGGGAGCCACAGACTGTAGCACAGAACGAAGCACATTGCTCTTCGCTACTTCCTTGCTTGTGAGCTGCAGCACAGTGGTCAGCTCCGTCTCACCTACGTGGCCTCTAAGGCCAAGAGTGCTGATATCTTCACCAAGGCCCTTCCGCCTTTGTGATCATCAGCGCTTCTGTATTTTGCTAGGTCTCGTGCCTACCTGGCCTCACTTGCTCACTTCTTGATCTTGTGTGTACTGTACTGTTTCTATACCTGCACTCGCTTGTTTACCTTTATATATAGAATTCTTGCATGTGATCTGGCCTTGTGGCCTTGCTCTTGTGGCTCGGACTGTGTGGTGACTTTGTGATCCACCCTGAGCTTGCTTTGCGTTGCTTGATCTGGTCTTGTGACCACTTGTTCTCCCCCACTTTGCCTATGGGGGTGTGTCAGAACATATAGCTTATACATATATGTAGGTTGTAGTGGGGTAGCCCAGAAGGGGTACAACCCAATTAGGGTTAGTACTTGTACCCAATTGTTTCATAGTTCATTCATTCTCGTTCTAATTCTCACAGTTCATGCTCATTCCACTCAAGCACACACAACGCCAATGCATGCTCATACGCAAGCCTCTTGGTGAGGAATTCTGCTGGCTGCTGTGTTATAAGTCAAGAGTTCTACTTAGAGGTCGCGGATGCCCATGAAACCCCCTAAGCAGAATCTGACGTCTCTTAAACCGCCTCTGTTCAAAACGCCGTCTCGATCAGCTCCAAACACATACGAGGCTGAAACTTGGACAGCGGTTAGCCTTAGGTGTCTTGCTTTCCAACGGTATATTACTTGCTATTATCACACTAGACACACTGTACTTCTTGTCTCATTCTCTGTCCTTGCACCATTGCATGACAACAATGAAAGGGTGGCAAGGGAAATGCTGCCAACAGTGCACCATGACTAAGGAACAGTGCATTTCGGCAGCTGTCACGCAATGCTCACATCTTGGATCGTCTGAAACTTGGTAAAAACCCGCAAAGTGGGGCAAAGAACTGCCAGACCGAATTCAGACCAATCGGAGGGGTGATAGACGAGTCAGAAGCCGAAATGGTGAACTCCGGTGTCACCAAAAAGGAGTAACACACACTTCCGGGATGCCATAAAGTCTTGAAACATAAAATGTTGTCATGCCTTGGTAACGGCCTTCAAAAACTCTAGAAATTTGAGGGTTTGAAGAAAACTATGCTTGAACAAACTCCCCACAAATTCCAGAAGCTGAGCAGGCTTGTAGGCCGAATGGGAGTGCGATGACCGTGCCACTGTAATGTGTGGCACAACAAACTCCCCATCATCGTGCTCTCATTCATCCCTTAGCTGCTCCCTGAAGCTGCCTCCCTTAGTTGAAGGACATGCCACACAAGGTGGCGCAGGTCCAATGCTGATGCTCTGCAAGCCGCTTCGTAAAAAATCTGCAGGTTGCTTGGTAGAGTTGATGTAGTGCAAGGAGACCGTGCCCTTTCTTTCACCTCCTTCCTCACCCAATGCATTTGATATGCATGTGCTTGTTCAGCCCATGGAGCACAGCATTGCAAGCCATTGCAATTGCTCCCTTGGCTGTCACAGAACACAGGTGTAGGAACCTCTTGCTCCTGCCCCAACTCCTCGAGCAACCTCCTCATCCAAACACCTCCTTCACCCCATGAAACAACGCTATGTACTCGCTCTCCATTGATGAGTGAGCTATCTCCCCTGCTTCTTAGACTTCCAGCTCACTGGAGTCCCTCCAACACAGCATACATAGCCACCATGGGATGTTGCATCACTGGTGTCACTTGCCCATGTAGCGTCGGTGAAGCACGAGAGGTACAAGAGTCCATGCCCTTGCAGGTGCACTGGTCTTCGTGCTCACCTCCTCCACTCCCTTTTGCTTCAGCTGCCCATGCACTGAATATTGCAGCCCCACCCTTGAGGTTGCCATGCAGTACCTCACCAGCCTCTCTGCTGCATCAAGGTGCTCTTGAAGGGGCCTAGACACCACACGAGCCAGCTGCGAAACCGCGAATGAAATATCGGGGCGAGTGTTGACCGAAGCATACATCAAGCACCCCCACCATTGACTGGAACCGACGCTGCAACTCGGGCTCCAACACCTCACCCTCCTCTTCATCAAGGTGTAGCTGAAACCCTGAGGGTAGAGGAGTCTTCACACTCCTCCCTTCCTCCAGCCCATACCTCTCCCCCATGGCTGCAGGGTACTTGTGTTGGTGAAGCCTCAACCATCCCTCACCTCGTCCCTCTCCACGTGAAGCACTAAGGTAATACCCCACCGGTCCAAGAGCCTTGCATTGAAAGGTCTCCTTCAACTTCCCTTGCACCTCCTTGATCCTCTCTAGAGATTGAGAGAAGAGGAGAATGTCATCGACATAGACAAGGAGAAACACCCTTCTCCTCCTCCCCCTCGGTCATGAAGAGACTCTCGTCGCACCCGCTGACTTTGAAGCCAAGAGCCTCCAACACCTCCATCAGCCTTGCATACCAGCACCTTGGAGGCTTTTTTTGAGGCCATAGAGGGCCTTGTTGAGCCTGCAAAATGTCCGCTCCCACGTCATACCCCTCTGGTTGCTTCATGTAGATCTCCTCATCTACCATGCCATAGAGGAAAGCCGTCTTCACATCCATTTGCTCCACCTTTCCAACCACAAACCAGCAGCTGCTGCTAGCAACACCCGGAGCGTAGTAGCCTTGGCAACAGGAGCAAACACCTCCTTGAAGTCAACCCCCTCCCTCTACTGGAAGCCCTTGATCACAAGTCTTGTTTGCGCCTCTCCAACTCTCCCCTCCGCATCGGTCTTCACACGTAATATCCACGTGCAATCCAATGCCTTTCTTCCAGGGGGCAGATCAGCTGGGGGTCCATGTTCCATTCTCCATGAGGCTCTGAAACTCATCCTCCCTTGAAGCCAACCAAGCCTCTTGATCATCTCCAGCAAGTGCTTCCTCCATTGAAGCGGTTCATGAGGTAAGTTGACACCGAAGCAACAAATCTGCTCCATCTCTCCCTCGGCTCCCTTCTCCTCATCATCTTCCTCCCCCTGGACCAGCAATGCCTTAGGACCCCCAAGCCCTTCATACATGAGGAAATCCCTTGGGTGAGCAGCTCTCTTGGGCTCTCCTTGGCTGCACCCCTCTTAACTCCACGCGGACAGCACACGCTTCCCTTGGGTTGTCCACCTTGATGAAAGTTGAAGGGGATGATGTTGGCTGCTGCACCTCCTCCCCGGCATCACATCTCTTAGCTACAGGGCCTCCTCTTGCTGAACACTCCTTCCACCTCTGTTGCCTCCCCTTCAGCACCTCCCAAGTCATGTGACACCTCCGTTACCTCTGAAGATGAAGACAACTCGATGGGAATGAGGAGTGGATCGTTCGTTCCCACCTCTATTCCGAGCGGAATGGTGACCTTGCTCCTCCCTCACTCCAACCACTCCTTGAACATGAGCCCCTCCATGAACTTGGCATCT